GGCAGGCCATTGTCCGTCCGCCCGCGCATCCGGTGCCGCAATTACAAAATCCATTCGAGGAGTCGATGCTGGAATCAATAAGTGATCAGGTGGCGGAAGATGTCCCTACTGATGCCATGACGCGGCGAACAATGCTTCTCGAGGCACCCACCTATCAACGGGTTATTGCGGGCAGGTGGAAGCAGAAACCGGGCGAGAAATATCATCCGTTGTGGAAACTCGTGGCGCAATTGACTTTTGGAATGCATCTGTTATCACAGAACATGGCCATCTCGGAAGACGAGGTCATGAGGATCCTGCAATCCCACGTCGACGATATCGATGCCTTCCTAGAACGCACCACAGAAGACTTCGATCTTGCACAAAGCGATATCCACGAGAGAATACGTTGTCTCAAGCTTCCACTCGCACATGGGGAAGTGTTTGATCGAATGCTGGAGGATCGAGCGTTTCGCGCATCGATCCTCGATGGAAACGAAAAGATCGACCATGTCATTGGCCGGACCAAGAAAGCGGCAAAGGATGCACTCAAGGACGTCCAGAAGGGGTTCGATGCAACCAATGTCATGGAAAAATACCTGTCCAAATTAAGCTCAACGTGGAAGAGAGAATCGCCCGAGCATGAAGCTGTTCTGGTTGCTATGCTTGGGAATGTGGAAGGATGGCGCCGAGCTTTCTTGGAATTGCATTTACAAGGAAACAAATTGGCTGGGTCTCTGAAGAAGCTCGCGGAGGTGGTTTCCGAGATGCAGCAGAGAGCTGCGACGGTCAGCAGAAATCTTGTGGTAAGATGGTCTTTGCTTTTTTGCCTTTTTTATACTGTCGACACCCTTCTTACTGTTGCCAGGCTAGAGCTCAGAAGACGAAACACATTACTTCACAGGATGCTGGTCGTGCGATATCCCAGTTAGGATCCATCGCTGAACACAAACCGCTACCGAGTGAACCAGGTCGACAACACTCGACTAGAAATTCATCTCGCAGTACTCAACTCACCAGCTTCTCCAGTCGACCAAATAGCGGCCAGAAGTCAAGTCAAGGGATGACCTCGCAAACCCAGTCTCTCGGTTATCAATCACCGCAATCCTCAGAAGCAAGAAGACTGGGCCACGCAGAAATGCCTGGACGCTCGTTTTCATCCGAGGCGATGGCGACCGAAGGGCCACAGTATGCTGCAGACCGAATGCGTAACCTAGGCGGATTGCTCATTCAACCCAGCGAGGAGCTGCTCGTTGAGCTTCCGGCCGATGTCCCTGAAGATGCGCTCCGACAAGCACCCGTCTCGATCAAGAACCGATTGAGTATGACACTAGGCCTGAAGCCAAAGGACAACGCAAGTCACCGCATCTCCAGTGTCTATTATCCCAAAGCATTGGGTGATCTCTTGAAATCTCCTGCAGTATCTTCATTATTACTTACACCACAGGCTGGAAAATCGAAGGGCACGCCTGTGCAGGCCATGATATCGCCCGTCATGTCGGAAGGCGAAGCTGGGTTCTTTCTCTCCCACGAGCAAAGTCCCTCGATCGGATTTTTCAACACGGATTACAAGAAGGGGACCGACTCTGCCAAAGCGTCTCCAGCAGCAGCTCAAGCGTCGGCTCGAGCTTCGATAGTGGATCCATCTAGGCCGGTAACTCGTCGTTCATCAATTCCTAACCCGGCGTTTACTTCGCACCCCGTTGTGATGGCTATGGCATCTCCTCCGGTCGAGCTTCCTGCCCCGGCTGAGTTAGGGGCGAGGGAAGAGCGGTCAAACTCTTCCGCATCGAGGAAAGGCTCCCAACTCTCAAGCCTGGGGGAACCTGGGCCAGAGCTGAACGAGGGTGAAATGACAAAGTCGGCTTCTGAATCGGTGTTGGAGACGAGAATTCGCATTGACACATCCACCGTGACCGTTGCTATTGTGCCGGCATCTGCCGAGGAGGAGACCTTTGCAGCTGCACAGCAAAAGGCCGAGAACGATACGCAGGATCAGCTCCAAGGCCAATTGGAGACGCCAACAGAAAACGCAGTCAAGGCCATGCAAGAAGACGTGGCAGCGCCTTTGCGCCCGCGAATGACGGCTACGGCACCTCCGCCGACTGAAGAGGTGGAAAACATCGATGAAGGAAAAATGCAAGTCGCCGTTGGAGCACCCACTAGACTTGAAAGCGAAGTTTCAGCTGAAACAAATCCTGATGACACGCCAAATGATATGCTTGCTCAGAGAGTCGACGGCCCCAGTCTGAAGACAGAATTTATTGCCGAGTTAGAAGCCATTGTTCCCAAACCTCTTTATCTCAAGCCGACGGAAGATTTTGGACCGGTGGAATTGGAAGCTCCGCACCAAACATTCAAGCTGCCTCCGAGACCCGTTGCAGTAACCGAGAATTCAGAGAAAGAAGCTCCCGGCGCCAGTCAAGGCCAGCAGGACGACTTCATCAAGCTGCCGACCGAAGTTACGATTAAGCCTGGCATGAAGCCCAAGGACTTTGGAAACTCGGATACCCCAGAGCCGATCCGACCCTTGAAGTTGAAACTCACCAAGAAAGATGGCAAGATCGTCCCTGTTCCGGTCTCCAGCCCCGGCGGAAGTTCGAAATCTTCAGTGGGGAGCCCTGGCCCCAAGCTCAAAATAGATGTCGTCGCAGACATCATCGAAAAACTCTCGTATACACCGCCAGGTTCACCCATTCATGCCAGGTCAGCTTCGAGCGTCTCTTCAAATTCAGCGCAACGCTGGTCACACCGATCATCACGCTCGCTGGGACCACCAGAGCAGGCTCCGGCGCCGCCCGCTCCGGGAGGTCGACCGATGGTCGAACCTGATTTCGCCACGGCGGGACAGTTTGAGGGGGAGCGCAAGCAAAAGAAAAAGAAGAAAAATAGCAATATTAGTGGAGGGAGCAAGAGTGGTTGGAAAAGTCTGTTCCGGGGAAGCATTGCGGACAGCAGCAGTGCCGGCGGCGCACAGAGTTCAGAAGGAGGTTCCATAAAAACGATGACAACGGCAACAACGACCACGAATGCTTCTGCGTCAGCATCAAGAGCAGGCGCAGAGGCCGCAGAGGCAGTTCCGCCCACCCCAGCGGACATGATGACAACGTCTGGCAAAGACGTGCTTTGGTTCAAGGGCGATACGAAGAAATGACTGGGTGTATCGTTTGGGCAGAGTCTTTGGCAAGGACGGAGTGGAAAGTTGTAAGAATACTGGGTTGCCGAGCCGGCGTCAGTAATCCATGCGTGCTGAGCAGGTGAGCAGACTGCTTATAAGATGATAAATCCCTTTTAATCTAATTAATCCCACGGCTGTTCCCAACTATGCTGTGATTGCTGTTCCACCAGAGCTGGCGGAGACTGTCGGGTCGCCTATATTGGAAAGGAACTGCCGATGTTCTCACCAACTTGCCGAGTGAATCCTTCAATGTTTGTTAGGACGAATAGGTTCTCGAAAAGGTAGCAAAGGAGAGAGGGACATGGAATAGTAACCCCAGCGGTGCCGAGAACTCCAAGACTTGGATTGTAGGGATGTGGTCGCCAGTCAGAGAAGGACGATCCGTCACGCGATTCAATGACCCAGAGTTGCTCGTCTTGCGGCCGCTTGTGCCTGGGGGGTTTTGCTGAGGGTGACTGATGATGATGATGATGATGATGATGATGATGATGATGATGCAATGCGAGGTTTGGGGCGGAGGCGACCACAGTGAGTGAGGCAGACTCGCGCTCTGTGTGTTTCGGTTACATTTGTATGGAGCAAAATCAAGATCGGCAGCAGATCCTGGGGAGGTAAATGGTGAGTGGTCAGTAGACAAGTGGGTGAGTTTGAGCCACGAACAGCTGACCGGTATGAATCTGTGGCATGCAACTTGAGGCCGGGTGCGGTGCCGCTTATTAGGACCTTGTACTCTTGTCGGGGAGCAGGTTGTAGGTACCTAATAAGGTGAGGGGCTCCTCAGGCTCCCTACTGTAGGTAGGCTCAGGTGTCGGCATCGCGGCCAAGGGCATAAGGCTAAATTAAGGCAGGCGAGAACGGGTGGGCGCCCGGGCAGCCAATTGACGCCCGCTGATGGGATTCGGTCCAGACTTGGGCGACGAGGGTCTGCGAGGTAAACCCAGTAACCCCATCTCGCCCATCGGTGCCATCCTCTCTCTTGCTGCGATCTCCACAAACTCAGCTAAGCAGATCCAACATCCATGCCTGCTTGACCTCGACCCATTGCCATCACCCATTCCTCATCGGATACCCTCGAGTCCATCGTCGTTTTCGCTCTCAGCCTGACTACAGCATATTCAATGGTTTTTGGGCCTTCTCCCTCATCCACCATCGTCCATTCCCCCAACCCGCGTCCCTCGTCCGGCCTTGATCCTTTGATTGAACGATTGACAGCCCACACCAGGCCACCGTCGACGACTGAGCCCACGAGCCCGCGATGCCTGACCAGCTACGTCTGAATCTACCCATACGTATCTAGAAGTTCGCTCCAAATCGACGGATAGCCCTCGCCTCCGTCTCGGTGTTGAAGAGGTCTCAGGGTCAAAATATCCTCACTTTTCGAATCCGAGCTGGCCTGGTCCGCGACCTGAACCGAGCATGGTGACTACCATTCTGCGCCCGACGCGAATTTCATACCGATTGCACCAGATCATGAATTGAAGGGAACGGCAACAAGGGCGAAGCGACAAACGTCGAAGAAAATATTGCTGGAGAGAAGAGAAGGTACGGAATACACCTATTACCAATTGCGAGTAAGGGCCTATCTGGACACCGTGATTCTGGGCTTCAAAATCTGGCCATCAGCGCTGCTTTGCACGACGAACTGTCCGTCTTTGGACCGTCTGGCTCGCATCTGCCGGGTAGCGCTGTTCGCCCTCGGTCTATGGACGGTTCCCTTTGCCCGTAGGCCCTCTTGTTATGGTTCATTGATGCTCTTCAATCAAAAATCATTGAGGCGTAGTTGCACAGTTGAACTGATGTGGAGTTCTCAGATCTATACAAGTCCTTTCTCTCTTTCCTCGCTATGTCTCGTTCGAACAACGACATCGCGCCATGGGACACCCGACCCTCGCAACCAATGCCTCCAAAAGCCATGGCCATCTTTGGAACTGGTGTGAATCCGAATGCCACAGGTCGCCAACATTTCCCACAGCCACGGCAAATTCATGAGATTGCGCCTTGGGACACTCAGCATCCTCACGATGACGAAATAGCGCCTTGGGAACGAGATCCTCAAGCACATATCTCGGGCACCCGTCCACTGAATCCATCTTATTTCAACGACTCGACCGGTCGAGATGCCCAAGGCTCGTCGAGGCGCCCGGATACTGCAAGAACAAATACGTCGGATTCGCCTGATTATGATGGTGATGCAAGACGGCCGTCAATAGCTAGTAATACAACCGTCAGCAGCACAGGTTCAAGAAGCAGCACCGCCAATGGTCGATTCCATAAAAGCTTGAAGGGTTTCTTTGGTGAAGATCCTACGGATTCTCGGAAAGGGTCGACGGCAGATTTGGCGGAGCCGGTGCCGCCTGCCAACTCATCGGACAAGCCATCACAGCGGAGTGGTTCAATCCAGACTCAGAACACCGTCGAGGACAGACCCAAGACTCCTGCCCCTCCTCCCTCTAGCGACGTCACCCCTTGGGCTTACCAAAATTTTGAAGATGTTTCGAATTTTGGGTCTGCGCCGATACGGCAGGAGCAGCAGCAGCAGCAGCAGCAGCCGCAAAACGAGTCTTTGCAGCCAATCCCACCAGCGTCTACTCACCGACGTGGCCTGCTTCATCGCCATACGAGAAGCAAGGAGGACCCGCCTAAAGGCCAGCAAGTCCCTGCGTCAATGCCTAAAAGACCTTCCACAAGTCGGGAATCGTCGACGAGTAATCTGGCTTTCTACCGTAATACCCCGCCCAATAGCACGCCCATGAGCTCTTCTACAACACTCACTCGTAATGCCAGCCCAGCGCCTCAATCACGCAAAGAACTCCCTTCGCAATCGGAAAAGAGATCGATATTTTCGAAACTTACCAAATCGCGCAAAGACAAGCAGTCACCCCAACCTGAACCAATTAGGACAAACATGGAGCTCGCACGACCGCCGGAGGAGCAGAAGAAGAGCAGAACACAGTCGACCAAGACGACCGTGTCAGACCTCTCTGATAACAAAAGGGATAGAGAGACAAGCGTTGCATCTGTGGACAGCGCATCAACAATCAAAGCTACTGATCCATCTCCCAAACTTGACCGGACACAAACGGCCTCGTCAAAGACGAGCAGGTTCACTCGGCATGGCAGACATCGTGGACCTAGCGTCCAAAGTGATACCTCTGAAAAGAGCAAAACGACAAGTCAACAAGCCCCAATGCAAGCAGGCGTCTTCAGCCTTGATACGAATTTTGATGACATGTCGGACATTATCTCTCAGCCGCCGGCTCCAAAAACTCCCGGGGAAGCCGGAATCTGGACGGGGAAAGCTTCGGCGACACCAATGTCAGAACTCTCTGCTCCTGCATGGGATGCCCCAGATAGTTGGGCTGTGAAAGGCCAGGAAGATGAGGTTCTTGACAGCTTACCCGAAGCCACTGAGGACGGCCTGCCGGCTATCCAGGAAGAGGATGGCATATCCTACTTTATGCGTGTTTTCAGAACCGATGGCACGTTTGCCACATTGTCCATGTCTATTAACGCTACCGTGGCTGAAGTCCTTCAATCTCTTGCCAAGAAATCCGTTCTACACGACTCGATTGACAACTACCAACTCCTTATGCGCAAACACCAGCTGTCAAGACAGCTGGGGTCGGGAGAACGTCCTGTGGCCATGCAGAAGAAGCTCCTGTATCTGGCAGGCTACACTGAAAGAGACAGAATTGAAGAGGTGGGCAGAGAGGACAACAGCTATCTCATTCGGTTCACGTTCAGCCATGAGAAACAGACGGGCTACGGCAGCGGGCTTGACAAAGACCCAGCATTTAACAAAATGCAGAAATTCAGCCATGTGGATCTCTCCGGGAAGTCGCTGGTGACAATACCGATTATCCTCTACACCAAAGCTTCCGAAATTATATCAATCAACCTTTCACGGAATCTTGCACTCAAAGTACCAAAGGACTTTATCACCGTCTGCATCAACCTTCGCGAGATAAAATTCACAGGCAATGAAGCGTGGCGGTTACCGCCCAGTTTAGCTTGGGCAAGTCGACTGACTGTGCTCGATGTGTCAAACAATCGGCTGGAACAATTGGAACACGCAGAGCTGCACAGATTAATGGGCCTTGTAAGTTTGAAACTGGCAAACAATAAGTTGTCGGAATTGCCTCCCAACTTTTCGTACTTTCGCCAGCTTCGCAGCCTGAACCTTTCATCCAACAACTTTACCACCTTTCCAGAAAACATATGCAGTTTGAAGTCTCTCGTGGACCTTGACATCAGTTTCAACAAGCTCTCCTCGCTTCCGAAAATCTCCCAACTGACCACGCTTGAACGCCTTTGGGTCACGAACAATGATCTAAAGGGCCCGTTCAACGAGACTTTCGCAAGTTTGATCAATCTGAAGGAGATCGACGCAAGATTCAATGCAATAACCAATATCGACAATGTAACAAGCCTTCCGAATCTCGAACAGCTGCTCGTTGGTCACAACAACATCACAACTTTTAAAGGCTCTTTTCCGAAACTGCGTGTACTGGTCCTGGATCATTGCCCGATCACCTCTTTTGAACTGGACCAACCTGTGCCAACCCTGTCTAGCCTTAACATTGCTTCAGCGAAACTAGTCGAGTTCAAGGAAACGATGTTTGATCACATGCCAAATTTGCAGAAGCTGAATCTGGACAAGAATCATCTGTCAAACATGTCATCCCAGATCGGACGGCTGACCAAACTAGAGTTCTTGAGCATGGCGAAAAATCCACTAAATATAGTCCCTCCCTCCATTGGGAATCTCGCGGAGCTCAAGTTCCTGAATCTCAGGGAGTGCAATGTCAAGAGCCTCCCTCCCGAAATCTGGTATTGCAAGAAGCTGGAGACATTGAATCTGTCCTCAAACGTGTTGGAGACCTTCCCTAAGCAGAACGCCGCCCCGCCTCCAAATGAGCTCAAGGACTACACCCCCACAGCGACTCCCGGGCTGTCAACTTCTCCCAGCTTTGATGACCTTGGCAAGCTTGAAGACTTTCAAGCCCGGCGACCGAGTCAGGCATCATCGGGAATGATGAGCATCGGTAGTTCTCCTGGGGCCCGGAAGAATTCTGTTGTTTCGCTGAGTGCTCATCGGAAGCAATCTGTGATCTCGAGAACAAATACAGAGTATTCAATGTCGATTGCTACTCGGAAAGATTCCAACATATCACAAGCTAGACTACACAACACATTTGCAGGATCACTCCGGTATCTGTACTTGGCTGACAATCGCCTTGAGGACGATGTCTTCCGAGAGCTCGTTCTCTTGCCAGAGCTCCGCGTTCTCAATTTGTCATACAACGAACTGGACGACTTCCCTCAAGGAGTATTGCGTCGCTGGCCTCAACTGAGTGAGCTCTATCTGTCTGGGAATGAGCTGACATCCCTGCCTTCCGATGACCTCGAAGAGAGTAGTAATCTGAGAATATTGCACTTGAATGCAAATCGTTTCCAAGTACTTCCGGCTGAGCTGTGCAATGTGCACAAGCTGTCCACCCTTGATGTCGGGAGCAACTCACTAAAGTACAACGTCTCAAATTGGCCGTATGATTGGAACTGGAATCGCAACACGAACCTCAAATATCTGAACTTCTCTGCGAACAAGCGGTTAGAGATCAAACCCGCTGCGCACCAGAACCAGTCGCATTTCCACTCAATGAACCGCACCGACACTACAGACCTTACGAGCTTCAACACCCTAAAGTATCTCCGCGTTCTGGGTCTCATGGATGTGACATTGCTTACCAACACGATTCCGGACGATAACGAAGATCGCCGCGTACGAACTTCAGCCTCCGTGGTTGGGGCATTAATGTACGGTATGGCAGATACCTTGGGCAAGAACGAGCATTTGTCAACCCTGGATCTTCTGAAACCAAACTTTCGAGGCCAAGAAAGTGAGATTCTTATCGGGATGTTCGACGGCCAGACAATGTCGAGCGGCGGATCCAGAGTTGCGAAGTATTTGCACGAGAACTTCTCGGCAGTCTTTTATGAAGAGCTGAAAAAAGCCGAAAATTTGAAAGATACCCCAATAGACGCCCTCAGACGGACCTTCCTGGCAATTAACAAGGACATGGCCAATTTTGCGAGCAGCAATTTCGACACCAAGGAGCACAGGTTGGCCAATGGCCACAGAGGCTCAACTGTGGCAAACATCCTGGGCCCCGACGACCTGAGTTCAGGGGGTGTGGCGGCAGTCTTGTACATCAATGGACAGGAATTACACGTTGCGAATGTTGGAGATATTGAGGCCATACTTATTCAATCCAACGGCCAACATCGGCAGTTGACAAGGAAACATGACCCGGCGGAACCTGGTGAACGGGAGCGAATCAGGGAAGCGGGGGGGTATGTCTCTAGGCAGGGCAGACTCAACGACGTCCTCGAAGTCAGTCGAGCATTTGGTTATTATAGTCATATGCCGTCGGTCATCGCCGCGCCCCACACGTTCAAGTGCCAGATTACCGAATCGGACGAGCTCATCGTCGTTGCCACGAAAGAATTCTGGGATTATGTTACGGTCGACGTTGCCGTTGATGCAGCTCGAGCCGAAAAGAATGACCTCATGCTGGCCGCTCAGAAACTGAGGGATCTAGCGATGGCGTTTGGTGCAAGAGACAAGATCATGGTCATGGTTCTCGGAATCTCAGACCTAAGAAAGAGAGGCAATCATCGCTTCCGAGGGACCAGCCTATCGATGGCGAAGGAGATGGGTCTCGACGAAGGCGCCATCTTTCCCAGTTCTCGAAAAGCTCGACGGAAAGGTGAAACACTTGTGGGTGACTCTCGGCTTGCCAGACTTGAGGAGCCGGAGCCGCCCGTTGGTGATGTAGCGATATGCTTCACCGACATCAAGAATTCCACTGCGTTGTGGGAAATCCTTCCTGTTCCCATGAGGTCGGCGATCATGATGCACAACGAGCTCATGCGGCGACAGCTTCGCATAATTGGTGGTTACGAAGTAAAGACCGAAGGCGATGCATTCATGGTGTCTTTCCCAACCGTGACATCCGCGCTACTTTGGTGTTTCAGCTGTCAGAGCCATCTTCTCGAATTGCCCTGGCCCCAAGAGATCCTGGAGACGGTTCATTGTCAAGAAAAACTGGATTCGGAACAGAACACCATCTACCGCGGTCTGTCAGTAAGAATGGGTATGCACTGGGGCCGACCCGTGTGCGAGCAGGATCCAATCACTCGAAGGATGGATTACTTCGGGCCTATGGTTAACAAAGCCGCCCGAGTGTCTGCCGTGGCCGACGGTGGACAGATTACTGTGAGCAGCGACTTTATCGCCGAGGTTCAAAGGACACTGGAGAGCTACGCGGACGATGACCGGCGAGATTCTGTAGGCTCAGAGGATACCGTGAACGACGACCCACTGTCGGTACAGATTCGTCGCGAGCTACGTCAATTGAGCAGCCAAGGCTTTGAGGTCAAGGATCTTGGAGAGAAGAAGCTGAAGGGCCTCGAAAACCCCGAATACATCTACCTGATGTATCCTCACTCATTGGCAAGTCGCCTGGAAATCCCACCTGGAGCGGAGCCGAAAGTTCAACTTGGAGGCGAGGCACCTTCCACGCTGGACGAGAAGGGCCAACCAGGTACGCTGGGCAAAGATAGCCAACTGAAGGATTTGCAACTTGACGAGGTCTGGAAACTCTGGGATATTGCTTTGCGTCTGGAGATGTTGTGCAGTTGTTTGGAGGTGCCCGAGCGGGCAGCAGGACTTCACAAGCCTGAACTGAGCTTGCTCACTAGAATGAAAGAACGAGGTGGCGTCCAAACGGACGGCTTCATGATGAATCTACTGGAACATCAGGTGACGCGAGTTGAGGTAAGCAGAACAGCTGATCCCAGTATCTGGGTGGGCATCGATCTGACATTCCATAGGCATGTGCAACAACCCTGCAGCTTCGGCAGATGTTCCGGCCTTTCCAGAAAGGAGTCAGTCTCTTTGATCAGGCCAGGCCAATCAGCGAGATCCTGAACGAGATATCGACGATTCTTGCCGAGGTTAAGGAAGAGCGAAATCAAATCCATACTCCAGACACTGGGGAAGAGACAGATTCAGAATAAAAGTGGTGTCAATACCTCTCAGTGTTGACGGGGGAGATGTCTGAGGGAAGGCAGTCAGCTTAGCATGCGAGACTTGAAACTCTCGAAACTTGTTTGCCAACTACATATCAACGTCTACACAACAAAAGGAGCTCATCGCTCCGTAATTGATGCTTCCAGGGTACGGGAGGATCTGCTATTAGCATTGGGAGGGCTTTGGGACGGAAATCATGAACGGGATCATTGGTACTTTGCGGTTAAGGCTAGATGCCTACCAGGCGAGGTTGGGATATGGGACTGCTGTCTGATGAGGATTTTCAAACAACGATTAGGAGAGGGGCTTTTGGAAGGGATGAATGCCGTTACGAACCAACTGAAATGTGCTGTCGAGCGTCTGGAAGCTTTGGATTAGGTCCCTATGCACATAACATATCACTTGTGTACTTTGAAGAGAAAGGGGAGGGTTATTCAGGATATGCCATCCTCGACAAATATGGCTTTTGGTCAAGCATTTGTTTCAATTGCTACACGGACGCTGAGACCGCAACGGTGCAAGTTCAACTTTGCGGATCAATCGGGCTTTTACGGAAAGGGGACAGAACAAACAATACGTACAGCAGCATAGCCACAGGTTCCCAAAGACGAGACTATGAACTCGATTCTTTCGGTCATTTACGTTTATTCATTTCATGCCTGTTGTCACTCCTTTTCGCGCTCGACGTAGTCATTATAGAGTTTATTCTACTCCCTTCCTACGCTCTCTTTCGTCATCCTACTCTCTTTCTTTCTCCCACTCTCTACCGAGCTTTTAGCCTAGATGAGAGCTATAGTGATACTTATTCGGCGAGTATTTTAATCCAACGCCCCGAGATTTCCGCCGTTTGCGAATCAAGAACATGATATGACCCGAGTGTCGTCCCGGTCGGTGGTTCGACCGCGGGAACTATCACCCTATTGAAGAATTCCTCTTATTATATAATTATGTGGCGGTTCGGGACGACGCCTGTTCTCCTCGGCAGCAAAAGCGGGTTACCTTCTCGTCACTAGCCCATCGCAACACGCTCCACTTTTCATGGTTGGTTAACTCATAGAAGTATGGTGGCGGTCGGATAGGATATAAAAAATAATCAGGCGGTGGGCTGAAGCCTCTAGTGCTAACCGGTGGTCGATGCCGGGGTCGAGCAGGTCGTATATTATCACTGGAGGGCTGCCTTTGAGGCCTGGCGTCCCCAGCATCAATCGCGGGTGGAGGCACGGTCGATGCTCGAGGCCCAGATTGAGGAGATTGAATGACGTCGTCACTGGATGGGCGTATCTGCGGCCTGGTGTCCCCAGAAGGACAGGGACGAGGAAATGCCAGTTGAGGTAATGTTCGAGGCGATGTTTTATGTTAACAGTGAAAAGTTTTCTCTGTGGTGTATCAGATATGGAGGTCTTCGGCGACAAGCCATAAAAATCCTAGTATCACTAGACGAGTGTGAGGATTCGGATGTTTGAGCACTGGCGGGAATCAGGCAGAGGGAGCTCCTTTGTATAGGCCACGGCGGGGGAAGCTGCGTATCTCTACCACTGGTCATTTTTGTGTGTCGGAATAGTCCGAGATTCCCCGGATGAAATATAGGAGAAGCGATCCATTAGGCCTGGCGCCTCCATTTCGAAGCACAATACATCCTCGGTGGCAGCCAGATGATCCCGCAGCAGTGAGTCTTTCATCAGGCGGCCCGACAGCGCAATCAGGCCGTAATGTATACGGGGGTCATCTTCGGCGGGATCATGCTGGCGTCGTTCGATGACCTGATCTGTGCGTTGAATACATGTTGATGAGCAAGGTTGGTCAGGATCACTGTGGACAGAGGATGATTTGAAGAGGAGAATCCGTGTATGGCATTCGATGTCTTGTCCGAAGTCGAGCACTTGTGTTCTACATTAACTCAATGGTCTGAGCGATTGCGTGGCTCCTGCGTTCATGCTGGACACTGAACTTCTGCAATGCATGTAGCACGAGGGAGGACGGCCTGTCAAGGGACCCTGTTACTTTAAACTGTCGATTTTGGATTGTCTTCCCATGGCCATATTGCATGACTCCTCCAGACCGACGATCTGGGGAACTCACCACGACATCGCCCAGCCGGATGTCGTGTTTCTTGGTTGGAGCTCCTCCGGCGATACCATCCATGAGCCTGATTCGAATCGCGGGAAGGCTGCGGTGCATGTCTCTTGCCACATGTGCGGCTGAGGCCGCGCCACGCCGCCCTTGGGGAGGCAAGCGATGACAAATTTGTGAAGTTGGACTCGACCAAACATTTATATTCTCGTCGTCTTCGGGAATACCGATAGGATCGGCAAGCTCCTCGTCGAGCAGCTCACAAGCCACGCCACATTCGATGTCAATAGCACAAATCCAACCAACGTGATAGTCGCGGACCGTCAGCCTTGGCTGGGCCATCTTTGTCTCAAATGTGGACATGGTCCATCTGTGACCCTAGAACGTATCCAAGGAGTAATGATGTTTGATTCCTTGATAAACTCGTCGAAGTTAATGGGACGATAGAGAACGCATCTTGATGATGGTCGAAGAACAGCGGATGGGCTGAAGGGCTCTCAGCAAGCGCCGAATAAGATGACAAGAAGGCTGGATTGATCTGGCGCCCGCTACGCATGCGGGAAAGAGTCCATTGAGTCCAAGCTCTGCCCGCCTCCCAGCCTCAGCCTTGGCCCACCAGCCTCAGCCTCAGCCACAGCCACGGGGTGGATATCCATTCAAGTAGGTGCGACCAACAACCAAACTACTGTCTCATCGAATACGTACGCCATGGCTACAAGTACAGACTTTGTACAGACATACGATCGGCGTCCGCTATGACCGCATCACAAAACCATCAAACAAGGATCTTGTATCTGGCGACTGGATGGCTCGATGGCTGATGGCAAATGATAACTTGGCCGACCGACATCGTTTCCCCGAGCAATACTCCGAGTGTCGTCAACCCGTGATTGTAACTAATATGATGACATTCTCACGCCGTTCCAATTGTCTGTCTCTTATCTCTATTATATGCAACAGACCATCCGCTGACCCCTTTTGATACCACGAAAACCTGCAGCTGCTGCCTGGTTGGCCGTGCAAACCAGACTAGAGCGCCAACGCTCGCTGGTCGCCAACGAGGATACGTTCCGTTGCCAACAACTAGAGCGGGCAAGCTGGTTTGTGGCGCTTGTTCCGTGTGCCTTTCCATCTACCGCTCGATCTGTGCATGAACAAGATCTCTAGACCTTGTTGCTCGTTCTCCTCCAAATCTGTGACTAAGAGCAGGGTAGCCTTCCAGATGAAGCTCTATCACTTTGAAAGCAAGCCCGTGGCCCATCCCGATGCTGTCGTTGTGGGGCCTCACTATCGATTTACCATCCTAACCGACCGTCTGATTCGGTACGAATGGTCCTACGACGGCAAATTTGAAGACAGAGCCTCCACGTTCGCCATTAACCGCGAGTTCCCTGTGCCCAAGTTCCAAGTAGTCGACAGGGCCGAAGAACTCGAGATCATCAACGAGCATTTCCACCTGAGTTACGACAAGAAGCGGTTCAGCGCCAGTGGGCTCTTGTGCAGCTTCTCAGCCAAAGTCACTCTGTGGGGTGCACAGTGGCGGTTCGGTGCTCAACCCAGCCATGGCAGACGAGAGAATCTTGGCGGAACGGCCAGGACATTGGACGAAGTTGACGGGCGATGTGACATGGGAAATGGTGTTCTGTCGAGATTTGGTTATGCCGCTCTAGATGACAGTAAGTCGATGCTGTTTGATGGCCAGGGCTTCGTGGCCGGTCGACGACCCGGTGATCGGATTGATGGATATCTCTTCTGCCATGGCCATGATTACAAGGGTGCTATCAAGGATTTCTACGCGGTAAGCGGCAAACAACCGCTACTCCCACGATGGGCTTTGGGAAATTGGTGGTCACGGTACTACAAGTACCGCCAGGATGAGTATATCGACCTGATGGACAAATTCAAGAGTAAGGATGTCCCCTTATCGGTCGCGGTCGTGGACATGGATTGGCACATGGTGGATGATCCGCGAGTACCGCATGCCGGGTGGACCGGTTATACCTGGGACAAGAAGTTATTCCCAGATCCCGCGACGTTTGGACGAGAACTTCACAGTCGGAATCTGAAAATCACTCTCAACGACCATCCACACTCTGGCATCCACTCGCACGAAGACTCGTACGAGGAGATGGCCAAGTTCCTGGGCTACGACATCTCCAAAAAGAATCCTATTTTGTTCGATCCGACGACTCCCAAATTTATGGAAGCATACTTGGACATTCTTCATCGAAGCATTGAAAGGGTTGCCTGTGACTTTTGGTGGATCGACTGGCAACAGGGTTCTCATACCAAAGTGCCAGGAATCGACCCTCTGTGGTTGCTCAATCATTTCCATTTCCTCGACAACGCACTCGGCGGCAAACGTCCGCTCATCTTTTCACGATATGCCGGCCCAGGCAGTCATCGCTATCCCGTCGGCTTTTCTGGGGATACTGTCACGACATGGGCTTCGCTGGAGTTCCAACCCGAGTTCACGGCTACAGCTTCAAATATCGGCTATGGCTGGTGGAGTCATGACATCGGTGGTCACTTTCATGGAAAGCGTGACGACGAGCTGGTGACAAGATGGGTGCAATTTGGTGTCTTCAGCCCTATCATGCGTCTGCATTCCTCCAACTCGAGATGGACATCCAAGGAACCCTGGCTGTATCGTAAGGAGAGCGCAGACATCATCGAGGGATTCATGCGTCTTCGTCATCGCATGATCCCCTATCTTTACATATGCAATGTCCGCGCCTCTACTGAAGACGAACCGCTCATGCAACCAATGTATTGGCTCTTCCCTGAGAGTGCTGAGGCTTACCAGGTTCCTAATCAGTACTTCTTTGGTTCAGAACTTATTGTTGCGCCAATTGTGAAGCCGCGGGACAAGCGCACGAATTTGGCATGCGTCAAAGTCTGGTTGCCGCCTATGCATCGCCACCATGTGGATGTCTTCACTGGCACAGTCTACGACGGGAACAGGGAGTTGAACATGTACCGCCCATTGCATGAAATCCCTGTGTTGGCACATGAAGGTAGCATCATTCCTCTGGACGCGAACAAGGCACCAGAAAATGGTGGTCTCAATCCAGAACACTTCGAGGTTCTTGTGGTAATCGGACGCAATGGCAAAAGTTTGGTCCTCGAGGATCCGGCAGACGACTCGCCGCAAGTGGACAAAGAGGGGCCTCAAACAGGTGAGCGCGGTTCACTGATCTACTATGACCAAGCGAAAGGCGAACTCACCGCCTATGTCACGGGCCGAACATGGAGTTTCCGTTTCCTCGCCGTCACCGAGATACCCAAGGATCTGAAAGTCACGGTTGACGGTCAAGATCGCACTAAAGAAACCAAAGTCTCCGTTTCAAAGTTCCCGGACACTCCTTCGATGTTTGTGCATGTCCCCCCCGCCCAACGCATGCACCATGCCATCAGCATATCCCTGGGCAGCGATCCGCAATTAAGTGTGTTGGACCACAAGGGGCGAATCGAGAAGCTGTTGCTGGATTATCAGACCGAGTTCGAGATAAAGGACAAAATATGGAGCATTGTGGACGACAGAAACAGCGCGATTAACGTCAAGATTGGCAAGCTGATGAGTCTGAGTGTCGATGAGACTTTGACAGAGCCGATTGCGGAATTGATCTTAAGTGATGTTAGAGGGATGCATTTGTGAGTTGCCTGAAACCGCAAAAATTGCGAAGAGGACCGGGAACGTACGTGAAGGAGAGATACTAAGGAGAGAATTGATGCGTAAGAACGTCCTTGTAGAGACCTTTCCGGATACATAACGTGCATTTGGATTTTATGATCATTCCGAAGGCTCCTCGGGTAACTCGAAGACAATGATAGAAACGCCCAAGACCAGCGACTATCCAGCAAAGTGAGAGTCAAGCGACAACCGTGATAGATATCGAAGACCTCAAAATCCTCTTTCAGCCGTCTTCGCAAGTTGTCAGAGTCTTTCTATTCATAGCTTACTCTCCCGCGCCAACATGGGGAAAACCTTCTCCTCCAGCCACTGGCCGATGATCCGATTGCAGTCCTCAGGCCTCTCCCACAGCGCCCAGTGGCCCGCATCCACCTCGGCCCAGGTCAGCCGCAGAATGCGCTCGGGCATCTTGGCGGCCATGAAGGGCTGCAGGGCCTGGTCCTTCTTGCTGAGGACGAACAAGACCTCCTGCTTCAGCTTCAGGTCCTGCTCGGCCTGCGCGAGGTCCTTTTTCCCGTTGCCGAAGAAGTCGCGCCACTCGTTCATATAGTTGACCTCGCGGGTGCGGTACCAGTTGAGCGGGCCGTAGACGCCGTGCCGCGCGTACTCGTCCACGTAGTAGTCCAGCTCTTCGTCCGCGAGGAGCTTTGTACTGCCCATGCGCGCCTGCCGCGCCAGGTCGAGCCCCTTATTCGCGTCGAAGCCCACCTCCCGCGTGTCCTTGGTGCGTCCGCCGTACAGGTTGACGAGGAACTGCCGGATCTCGGCCTTGGACTTGACCACCTCCTCGAGCTCGCCGGACACGAAGTGCTCCTGATACCCGAAATTGGGGAGCCGCTTCTGGACTAGGATCCCCAGCGGTTCGTACTTGGGGAGAGGCGGGAAGTACGGTGTGCAGATGCTAAACACCGCCGTGATAAGGTCCGGGTAGTACTGTGCGATGCGGTACACGATCGTCCCGCCCCAGTCGTGGCCGCCCAGGATGATCTTCGTGAGGCCCCTCTGTCGGCACAGCTCGGCCATGTCGTCGGCCGCGCGCTTGTAGCTGTAGTCTTGGAGTGTCCACATGGGTGCGTCGGTGCGTCCGTAGCCCATCGAGTCCGGCGCGACCACGTCGAGCCCTAGCTTGGTAAGAAAGGGAATCTGATAGCGCCACCCCATGCTGATGTCCGGGAAGCCATGGATGAGGAAGATGGTGCCTCGTTTCGGGACCGAGGCCGACGCCGGGCTGAATAGGTAGCCGTATGTGTGGCCGTTCAAGAAGGCCGACAGGAAAGAGACTCGGGGGTCATTGTAGACTTTGATCTTGTCTACTGTTAAGCGTTGGTTGTTGGCCATGGTGGTGCCGGTGGTCGCCGACTCCTCTGCCTTATGTGATGCTGCGATAGCCTTGGGGGGTTGTTTTTTATCTTCTCCTGAGCAAAGATATTGAGAGCTTTGGTCCCCTAGAGATATCGATGTATCGCTGTGCTTATATACAGCTTCAATCCTTTTCCTAGGTCAATTGCACGCTCGACTGCCTCCCCTTGCACGTCTTAGACGTATTCGGATGTTTGCCCTCGGTTCACGTCCCAACTGAGGATTCTCCCGCCCAACCAGGTCAAATAGGCTGAAACCTTGCTGGCTCGTGCTGTATTCTATGGCATGG